TCATAATCAGATTTCATAAATTCTGATTTGGGGGCATTTGTTATTATTTTTGTTTCTAATTGTGCTCTTAGACAACAACTGCTCTCCTCTAATTGTACCGGTGGAACTTTATTGTTCACCTTCGGGCCTCAGGGTAGGGAGGAGAATTTGAGTGAAAGGCAAAAAGTGTTTTTTGCGGTTTGCTCCGGCAGTTGCAGAGACTTGCAATGATACTCCGCTGTCAGGAGTTATGGGAAAATGGCAGCGGCATCTCCTCCACAGAGCACACATTACCTGCCGCTCTGGAATGTGCCTCGCACTTGCCAGAATGTCATAGCCCAAAGACAGAAGCAGATCCTTGTCAAGATTCTGTGATTGTTTTCGTTCTTCTCTGTGGTCAGATCTTTGGCAGGGATGCAATGTGTAGAGCGCGTCTGCACCTGGCATGTCCAAACAAGATGCAGATAATAGCCTTGTTCTTTCTTCACAAACAACACAAAATGGTGCGTTTGCAATCCTTTCTAAGGGCTCGCAGCGTTTCAGGAATATGGGTGGACGCACGGTCACCCTTTCGTGGCGTCGCCTTCTGATGTCTTCCACGAAGATCCCGTCGTCGTAAGGCTGCAGTCGCCCGGAGCTGCTGCCGCCTTTTGAAAGGAACAAATACTTCCTTGGAAATCAGACATCGCGTCCTACGCTGCTCGGACGGTGCCCACAGACTCTGCTGAGCTTGGGCGAGCATGTGAACATGCTCTTGTGAAAGCGACATTTTGTCAAAAAACATGTGATGGCAGCTTTCAACTATTTCATTAAGAACTGCTTTGAAGAATTGAGCAAAGGAATAGACTTAAATATGTTCAATTCATTACTTGTTATTTCACTATACATATGTAATGTTACTTGTCAATTATATAATAACTTAATATATGAAAATGTTTAAATATAATATTGAAGTTCTCCATTTCGCATGAGATATGTAATTCACTGTTCACCTGTATGCAATTGCTTATTTGTGAGCATTTGGCCAGGAATTAAATGTGTTAGCTTTGCGCATGGCTTACCAGGAAAATATTTTAAATTCTCCATGAATGAGAAAAAATGCATTGTAAACACGTTGTGCGGACAGGCGCAGTACGATTAAAGAAAACAACAATTATAAACACCGTTATAAGACACCAAAATGAATATTCAAAAAAGGGTTTTAAAACACAACCACTCACCAGGGTCGTTTCCAAGTATCGTTCGGGATTTTATTTTTGTAGTTTTTACCCCCCCCCCAACAAAGAACACAAACTTGACAGCAACTGTGCAGAAAACCTGCACTCGCACGCGTGGTGCAGAGGCTAGGAGCGCAGCGCTTTTTACGGTTGAGAGATACAAAGACGGTGGTTGTTGTTGCTGAAAGGCAGTGTTTGTTCCTCTCAAAGTTGATGAAATAAAGACTATTTATTGTTATGAGGCCATCCAGAGTGCAATCACCTTGAGTCAGGGCCACGGAAGAAGAAGAAGCTGGAAAATAATGTACGCAGACTTGTAGGTGGAAAATAACCCCATTGTAACCACGATGATACGTTCAGATCAGAGGGCTTTAAACCACATTCATTTGTTGACAGTAAGGGTTCACAAGGTTGGTAACAGCAAAAAAAGTATTTTTTTTTAAATATTCAGGGGCTGTGTCTTCCAACATAATGCAGACTGTAAATGCTCTGAAGCACAGACTATAAAAAGCACTTGTTTGCATATGCTGACACCCATCAGCTTGAGCTGCTAACTGCATTTTCTCTCTAGCAAAAGTATGTTTTTGTATGTTTGCACTGGTGCAGCAATACAGTATATTGTACCACCCACGTTGATGGTTCCCGGTCGACGCCGCCAAAATACTAATTGGATCTAACTCAACACACCATTGCGTTTAAGCAAAATCAGGAGAATCTCATAACAGGACTCCAGTCCCCTGGTTGACATTAGGAGCTTTAAAAACAACATCCTAATTCTGTACAATGTCATATTTTCCAAGCTTTGGATAAATTGCCACTTCTTCCTTGAAACGTACGTTTGAGTTTAATAATGATCAATTCAGAATTTGTAAGGCGCACCATTTTCATTCAGAGGTTTATTCAGGGGCGCGGGAACTGCAGTGAAGCGGGAAGACAGCCAGTAGCGGCTCCAACATTTTCCCAAGCTCTGTGAACCTATATTGGGATGTTTTTCTGCAGCTATATTGCTCCCAAAGTTGTGGTACAATCTGTTCTCTTTTAACGCGGTAGTTGCATCCGTTATTGAAAATCGCGTTGGAATAAATAATATATAATATAGGGTAAAGCACAGTCCGCAATAACACGTGAGATGCGTACGCAAGCCAAACAAAGACTGAGGCGCGGGGGTAGCATCTAGAAGCATCCAGCAGCATCGCGTCGCCTTGTGTGATGCTACGCCGAGGCAGCCGTACAATCGCTTATTCCTACTCGCGAGACGTAGTTCCGTTCACTCGATCACGTTATATCCAATTCACACTGAGTTAAAAAAAAATTGCTTTCATCTCCAAAAGTGTGACGGGAGAGTCGCCGTGCACGGTGGTGATGCCACGTCACTGTTTCCGTGGTCCGGTCTGGCACAGCATTGAGATTGCTGCCCGCTAGGCTTGCAGCACTGTATCTCGTCCAGATGATCACAGCAAGGGATAATCTCACTCGCCGCATTTCTCTATTGCATTGAAATCGAAGGCCACTCCTTTATGATGAGATCGTGCGGCACTGATGTACATATCGTTGAGCCTGCGAGACATTGAGCCTCGTGTACCACTGAGTGTAACAAGTAGTGCAAAAACCAACATGCTTATCAAGCGACAGGTTTCTTGGGCAGGTGTCTTTATTGAAAATCGACGGCTCCAAAGTTGATAAGCATGACGCAGCAAACAACAACAACCACCGTTCGCCATGGCACTTGTACCAGGCAACGTGCACAGCAAAACACACACACATACGTACCTAGAGCACTTTCCAAGGGCACACCAGAACCAACTAATGGAGCAATGAAACGAGCTCATGTGCGGTGTTGAGACCGGTTGTAGCTTTGCCGGGCAATCAAGGATGATGACTGGATCCAGAGAGCAAATTATCCTTCCATATAAGGGAGCCTTGTTGTCTGCTTATATATTTTGTTGCTTATATTTTCTCACAATGACGCGAGTGATTATGTTGTGTCGTTGTGTGCAGGCTAGGTTAGTACAATGCTGCAGCTGTACTCTGAATGGTTGTGTTGTGTTGACACCGGGCCTGCACCTGCACGGATATTTTCCATTAGACGGGGAAGCGTCATCCGCTGGAGAAGGTGTCGGCTTGTGAAGCTTTACACTGTGTTACAACGTATCCATCACGGACAAATGTAATGTAACATTGTTCATTATCACATAAGTGATTTACGTGGTACGATTTAAAACCCTGGGTGAAAAGGTTTTGCTTCTTCTTCAGAAATAAGATGTTTTTGTGTTGATATCCACATAATTAATATCCCAGTGGCTGTGACTGTGACATTATAGCTAGACACCATTTTTCTCATGTCACTTGGTCAGCTTAAATAGTTACGTTTGATGTTCCTGAGCCTTTAGAATGTCGAGTGAATCTTAAGAATGCCTACAACAGCAAATATGAAATTTTACCCAAAACCATTTTTAGTTAATTTAAACACCAGCCAAAAACAGCCAAGCCAAATTATATATGTATAAAAATGCCTGCCACTCTTATATGGGAATATCCTTGTGTTTAATTGTGTGGTAAAAAAAATCCCATGACCCCCGAACATTGTCGCTTCACTTGAACATATAATTTGGTGACTGGCTGGGAGGGTGGAACCCAGTGGGGGGGTGGGGGGGCTCTCTACTGCTGCTCGCTCCTGGGCCCGTGACGTGAAGTAGCGCTCAGCACATCACCGCAGCGGCGACAATCTTACTAAACACCTGCATCGACATTGGTGAAGAAGATGACGTGTGAACTGTGGCAGTACCAGATATGAAGAGAAATTCCACGTTGGTTCTTGCTTTTCACTATAACTAATTGATATTACATATAATTCGTAGTTGATTTTTGGAGTTAGGCCACATAGCGATCTGTCCAAATCTGTGTCATAAGAAACCCTCCGAAGCCCGACGCAGCTAAACAAGTCACACGTACAAACATTTCACGTGCAAACTGTTATTATTTCAGCTCACCCGTGAGTTGAAGAGCAATCCTCACAACATAATCGAGCGACATTTCGCTTTTGAAACTACGTCACAAATCATCAAGGCAAAATCTAGAAAATTTGTCACCGTATCACATGGTCGGACTTTGCCCAATATGGTGTCACATTGGCTCCAAAAACCTGTGTGTAAAGTATACGTGTCGTCTAAGCCCCCGGCAATAGTGCGCTTCTATATTCAAAATGGAAGGGGCCTGTGAGCCTTGAACATGAGCATGGACCTGGAACCTCCACAAAAAGGAATCATTTTTACGACTTATGGTAACTGATCGTGATAGCCGACTATCTTTTGAAGAACAGAGTTAAAGTCTACTTGTAGCTGTACGAGGTTAGGCCTAGAGCAGTGCTTCATAACCTGTGGACCGCAAGGCCGTGGGCAGTGGTTCACGGAATTGTGGTAGATGCACCAATTCCTTTCACTCCACACGGGATTTTATTAGTGCCCATTTGCACGGCTGTTTAGAGTAGTAAGAAGCGAGTTTATAATTTCCATGGTTTGTTAATTTACATTTTAGAGAGCTTTTAGAAGGAGTGTTAATCTTGATATATATATGTTATGGGTGCATGGCCGCCCGCGATCATATTGTGAGGGTTGACGCTGGTGCGTGAGTCTATAATGGTTTGAGACTGCGAGCCCATGGTACAAATAAAGTTATATTTTGCAATATTTGGTGATGTAGCAGTAGTCAAATTGGTCAAAGCATGCTATGCACGTGTTGTTTAGATGCTTTTGCGTGCATGTTGCGCTACCAATGAAATCTATAATTTGTTCTTGTTGTGTTTAGCAGGTCCAGGGTCACATGTCTCCCCTCATGATCCCCATCTTCCCACAAGACCAGCGGGCACTGGCAGCCATGACAGCAGCCCAGCAGGGACTCTTCCTGTCTCCGGGATTCTCCTACAAACCGGGTAAGAACCAGGGTTGCCACCTTTTCCACTGCAGAGCAAACCTAGACATTTGTCAGTCAGCCTGGGTCTATCAGAACTGTGCAATTTACTGCAATACAGTTCAAAGCTATAGCGATACCAGATCTCGGCAAAAAATCATCTCCCGCAACGCGAACACAGATGCCGATTATGGGATTTTCAGAGCCAAACCCGAAGAGATGGCAACCCTAGATTTGAGGCTGCAGCTCCTCCCTGTGAGACACTCCAAGGTCACACCGTGGTGGGTCGCAGAGATCGCAATCGCCGTGATTACAAATAATCTGACCCGTTGTTCTACATGATATTCACATTCAGCGGATTCCATACAAGAACTTCCACGGTTACTGATCCCGTGAACTTCAATCATTCAGGACTCGATCTCCCAGACTGACTGTTTCGTTCTATCCGTGCTGTGTTCAACCACCAGACTGCAGGTCACAATGACTCATTCACTCAATCACTCACTCACTCACCCACTCAATCAATCAATCACTCACCTACTCGCTCAACCAATCACTCACCTACCACACTGCAGGTCACCTCTCCTTTTCTGTGGCTTCTCTTGCACTGCTCCACTGTGGAATTCCCTATAAATTGAATTTTTTTATTACTATTATAAATGTGTGTTATTTCCAAAAGGATAAGCAGCTTTTGATCTTTTAATATGAAAAAGAATGAAATCATGAACAGAGAATACAAATAACGTACAACCCTTTGTCAGTCCACTTCCTTTGATGTTTGCATATATATGTCTGTGTTCACATGGTGTGGTGCTGTAGTGGTTAGTGCACTGTGCTACAAAACCTGGAGATCTGAATTCGATTCCTGGCTGTGACAAACATCAGCGGCACCTGTTCTGGGCCTCCCCAAGGGCGACTCAACCCTAAATGTCAAATAATAAAATAAGACAAATGAGCATCTGGTTGTGGTGTGCAAACACCCTTCGTGCACGCACGTGACCCTGTCATGCGTTGCTTGCAAGGGTTGGCGGGTGGCCTTAAGATCGAGGCAATAGCGTGGGTTGGTCGATCATCAGCTACAGCAGCAAAACGTATCAACGCTGTCGTCATTGCCGAGCAGTCCCTCTATGACGAGCGACTGAGTAGCAACACAAACAAGGCAACGCAAGCTCTCGCCCCTGCAGTTCAACTCCGTTTATCTTCAATTGTCGTCTTCATCTATTATCATATTCATTGTCTCCGCCATTATAACCACTAAAGATGATGTTACCTTCATTATAATGCTCATTATTAAAACCATTGCTCGTACCATCATTATCATGGTGGTCGTCTTCTGCATCGTTATCGCACGAAGCCATATCTGGCCCTGCGCTGCACTTGCATGCCTTCGTGGAGGGTGGAGCAACTCTCACACATATGCAAAACATATCTTTGTTTCATTACATGACACCAAATCATTGCCTGTGTTGTCACGGCCTTAATACAAATCTGATTTGGCAAAATTCTCCGTTAAATCGGTACCTACAGTCTCCCACAATCCTGGAAGAATAAATTCATATTCCAGGTCTTTTGTTGTTTACATAGGTAGGGAAAGTAAGCCCATTTTGTTGATGGTGAGGTCAGTCGGCCCAGATGAGAGGTCGCCAGGGTTCCACGGAGGCCAGGAGGCCCAGTGGGGGTATCGCGCCCGAAGGAGTGAACGGAGGGAGAGGCAGAGACTTGGCAGCCCGGCAATCACGCGCAGCACAGGGGGTGAGGCTCAAGCTGGACACACTCTATTTAACAAGAACGTGGGGGGCTCCAGAACCGCGAACACGAACACAACGGAAACCGGATGATGACGTAAAACAAGTTGACGTTTGTCATCCAGACCGCGGTAATGTGAACAAATGCGGAGCCGGAGCCGCGAGTACGTTTGTGGGTTTCTCCTCAGCAAGGAGCTCAGCGACACCTGGCGCGACAGGCATTGTGAACCCTGTGAGATCTAGTTCATATGCAACATGCAAACGCAACATTGCTTTACTCAGAGGACAGAATAGCCATCCTTTCTGCCAAGAAAGTTCAAGGCAATTCTTTGCACTGTGACAATGTGCAGAGAAACAGACTGAAGGTAATGTTTAAACCTCTTGGCATTCCCCCGCAATACAAATCTGGCGAAACTATTGCACGAGCACTCCGAGTCAGGTAAATGTAAAACATGTTTTGTCGAAGTTGTCGTTTGACATGTTTTGCCTGCGGCCCGGTTCACAAAATCGGTTCCGTTCATAAATTGGCGATTTTGGATGGTTCTGAGCAAAGTCTCTTGACTCTGCAGCCCCCTGATGGGTGCTCGTGTAATGGCAACGCAACGCTCACGAGAGGTTACCGAGACGCCACCACCGACTTGGGCAGGAGCAGCCAGACAGGCAGGAGACTCGCAACGCTTTGCTGAAGATTCCACGGCGATGGCGAAACCTCATATCTCTCGTAAAATCCATTGATATGTGGTTTTATATAATTAATGACAGAAAAAATAATTTCCATGAATTGTCAGAGGGAGAAAGTGGCCAATTTTGTTGCGACTGTGATGATACAATTTAGTATTCAGCCAACAAAGAAATATAGTATGCAGCCTTTAATCTAGAACTTATTTTTACAATGGCATAATTTCAATATTGTAAATGGATAACTAGGCTTCTTGGTACAGTATACATTTATAGAATTTACTTAAAAATATCTAATTATTCAAAGAAAATTCGTAACCAACTGTTAAGTCATATTTTTTAAGATTACAATGTTTACAGTGTTTCTTCCACGGCGTTAATGTACGTAATTATTCACTTCAAATCACGCTAGCAGGGCTTCTTGGGCACAGTCTCTATTTTGAGGAAACCTTCAAAAAGGTTCAATAAAATAATTGTAGAAACTCGATAGAAATCTACGTCCCCTTTGTTTCAATAGACGAACAGCAAAGTAATCAAGTTATCGTTAAATTAATAGAAAACATGAATGATGTATATAATATAGGTAAAAACATATCCTGCCCTGCAAGAAAAATAATGAGGCCGTGTCGCATAAATGAGTGATTGACATTTAAAATGCTGACTGAGAAAATTAAAAATAATGATGAAAAGTTGAACTTTGATGTAGTAATCCTTTTTTCATTATTCAAGCCCCACACCGTTGCTGTCTATGATAGATTTCAGAATGTAAAAAAAAAACACTTTAACAAACCATGGCAATTTGTTTATGACCTCGGTAAATTGAACGAATCTGTGACTGATTACACGTACACCTGCTAGTTCCCTTTACGACAGCAACAACTGCCAATCAACGCTAACTGCGCATCGCCTCTGTGTGGCCGTGGCTATCCCTCACCGTCGTCAGAGCTGCCAGCGTAGGCTGGAGGGCCCTCACCCGTCTCCGGGCACGACGCTCCAGCAACAGCGAATGCCGGCTGCCTAACAGCAGCAGAAGCAGCAGTAGCAGTTTGTACGCCACCTGCGCTAGCATTGCTTTTGAAGATGCAAATACAAAAAAACGATGCCTCGCCGCCGCCGCACAAGAAGTTGCAAGCGCAGGAATTGAATTGCAAAGTCAGTTTGGCAGCGACACGCGCACAAAAATTAATCGTACGGATGATGCTGCAACCAAGACAGCCCAAATTATGTGTATGTATGTGTGTATGCTGAACTTCTTTCGCACCGTACGTAGCCAACCGTGCAAATAGAAGGTGTGGGGAAGGACGCTTCACAAACGAAATATTAAAAAACGTACATTGTGTGTGTGTGTGCATGTATGAGCATCAGGGTTGTCAGTGAATTGTGCTCCTTGATTCTTTATTGAGCGTGCGCTGTGTGCACAGTGGTCGAAATGTTAATGTAGATGTCCCGCTATGAAAACCTATGCACCCTGCAGCCCACGTCCATAGCCATTTCCCCGTAAAAAACGCTTGTGTTGCTTTCGGTGAAAACGTAGTTAAGAACGCAGGCGTGCACGTGTTTGGTGCTCTGAGAAGTGCCAGTGTAGGGTACCATCGTATGTACACACTCGCAGCAGAGTGCTCGAGTGTACGTGTGTATATCAGCGCTTTGTGTTTAACGTGTTTTCTTTTTTGACCTCCATAGGTGACCCTTTCCACATGCAGTTTATCCCGTCAGCCATGTCTGCCGCAGCCTCCTCGGGACTGAGCCCTCTCCAGCTGCAGGTACGAAGCAACACGTCCCCCTCTTGCCCCTGCTCATGGTTTACCGCTCGCCAACACGGCAAAGCCATCGTGGCTCACCGAAAAACACTCGCCGACTCTGCTCAGCCTTTTTCCGCTTAACGACAAACAGTTTACCAACATCTCCGGGCCTGAATGCCTTGGCACCGGCCACTCATTGCCACGACAGCCTGGACGGCGAGAGAGGAGTCAGGCGAGGAGTTACGCCCCCGCTATTTACAGCAGCGTTACAAAACAATTGGCTTTCAAAATTAACACAGTTAATGTGACCGCTGTGGCAAGCTCCCATTCATAAAATTGAACATTGTAAGTTCAAATCCGAATTGGGGATCAATTCAGCCTATCAGTGGTTGGTCCAGGGTTGATCAAATGCGTACCACTTTGGGGGGGTTCAACACAAGGAATTATTCCACCAAAGCACGTGTGAAATTTCCACCAACTGGAATGAGACTATTTTGGCTTTCGGCGAATGTTTGAAATGCCTGTGCTATTTATTTACAAATATTATTTACGTGCATTTCCCCACATTTTTGTATTCGCATTTCATCTAGAGAGTCAGTTTGAGAGCCCGCTAAGTCCTGCATGGACGCCGCGTTGAACTTGAACAGAGGGGGTGTGTCCGGGTGAAAGGTCATGGCGAGTGAAGCTCCTCTCGCCCAAACGTTGAGATTGCTGGCACGGCGAGGGGGGCTTCTTCTGATCAGACGAGGGGGTCCCGTGCCGTCTCGTGGCTCCCGTGCGATCTTTAGTCCAGTCGCGCGTGCGCAGTGGTTGAGGTCGCTTTTCCATCGCTGGTCTTGAGCTCTCTGCACACTTGTAACATTTCACGCCCGCGGGGAATGTGATTCGTGGTGGTCATTTCTTCGGCCGTTGATATGTTATTTCATTGCTGCTATTAGTTTACTTACAAATGGATTTCAACTGCACACTCGCAGTGACTCTGACTCTAAACTCTCAAGGAATATTGTGCATTTCTATAAACCAGAAAGTAAATGGTAATTTACACGAATTCTGAACTATATGGATAAGCTTTTTTTGTGAGCATTGTAAAATTATGTTCTTTTATATCGACGATCACGCTGCTGGGTGTTATTGTAAGCGTCTTTCATCATTTCTGTTTCGAACTCGGGTTTTTTGTTGTTACACAGCACAGGCCCAAAAGCCCAAATTATGAAGTGGCAAGCAACAAACAGCACAATCATCAACATTATAATGGATAAGAGTGAACACAGTTCTTCACTTGAGCAAGGTTATTATTGTAAGAGCTTGGGGAAAATAGATGATGATAGGAGAGGGAATTCCCAAGTTGAGCAGTGTGCGGGAAGAAGTAGAGAAGGAAAGTTTTGTGACCAGCAGCGTGGTGAATGGGTGGTGAGTGGATGAGTGGGTGAATAAATGGGTTAAGTGGGTGGTGAGTGAGTGAATGGGTGAGAAGGTAGGTGAGTGAGGGAGTAAGTGGGTGAGTGAGTGAGAGAGTAAGTGGGTGAGTGAACGAGTAAATGGATGTGGAAGTGAGTGGGTGAGTGCGTGGGTGAGTCGGTCAGTGGTGACCTGCTGTGTATTGATTGAACACGGCAAGATGAAATGGAGTCCTCCACGCGTGTGGAGTTTCTCACATTGCACCAGTGCTGCTGCTGATGTTGTGATGGTCACTGCACAGTGCAGCAAGCAGGCTGCGGTGCTCAGCAGAGGCTTGTTACATCATGTCAGGGTGTATCCATTACCATGAATTTGATTTTAAAAAGGCTTATGTCCATGGAAACCTACCCCATACCTCTTTATTTTAATTCACACATTAGGGACACTTGTTTCAATGTCAAAATGTAATTTGTTTCATATTCTCTATTGGTATATGTGTACACGTACATCCCTGGACGAGGGCCCTCCCTCATGCTGTGTGGGTCGTAGGGATGTATTTGACCATACTTCACCACATGCTGGTCAGCGCGGGTTGGTGAAGGCAGGGAGGGCTAGCGGTGGGATCATACAATGGATGTTGCTGCGTTGCCTCCACAGAGTGTAGCGCAGCACAGCCCCGCAGCCTCCGTTAGCAGTGCGGTGGTCATACACCCGGGCGTTGTGCAGGCTCGGTCCAGCATAGCTTGTACGTATGTTGTTGTACGTATGTTGAACTTTTTTCGCACCTTACATAGCCAACCGTTCTAATCGGATGTGTGGGGGAAGGACAACGAACTTAACACAAAAAGCTATTCTAAAGAAATGGGTTTTCGATATTGGTTTAAAGTGCATAGCTCCAGTGGCTTCCTAATATCAGAAGGCAGAGCAGTTTAACACATAGGCGAAACGTCGTACTTGAATTGAAAATGTTGTGGGTGTACTGTTCAACACACCGGTGTTCTGAACTAGTGACTAATTTCACCATGTTTTGTTTGCGTGACAAACCTGACTAATTCACTGTGTCGGGTGGTGGCTGGTTTAACGGCACATTTATATTTAGGCGATCTACCCCAAAAAAACCTCTTGTGGAAGGAAGAGCGTTACAGATGGCGCATCCGAAAGCGCGTGATCCAGTGACCGTCTTTGTTCGATGGCCAGCCAAAAGTCACTGCGAGGATGACCGGAGTTCGCGCAATGGTTTATGGTCCTTGACGAGATCAGCAAAGTATTGTGGCTCATTTGTGGCAAGCACTTTGTGCTGTGAGACCTGAAAAGAGAGCAGGCATATTGTGGGTTACGTGGGCGTAGGCCTACCATGTCTGCTCAGACCGCATGCAGCATCGTGTGTGTGTGCGTGTGTCCTTTGTGAATTTGCTGTATAATTTGTATTGCAGCTCGGCTTTGGTTTTCTCTTTCATGGAACTGGAACGGTGTTGATTTGCGTTGTTTTAAATATGACTCTAATTGGTATTACAAGCATCAGCCTTATGCTTTACACCTGCTTCTAACTGCATGATTGATTTACTCCACGACCAACTGGTTTGGCACATTGCCAAGCTATTCATATGGAGTTTGCTATATGCCATTTCTTGATGTGAGGTTTTTTAACTAATATGCGTTAACAATTTCCAGACTGAACAATTTGGGCGAACCAATGCCTTTTCAACGCTGTTATGCGAATCGCTTGCAAAGGTCACGGAAAAAGCCAAGAAATGCTACTCACACTGGGTTTTGTGAGTTGGTTGTGCCATGACAATGGTGTCTCGGTCGTGCCAATCGACAACGCGATGAGTATCATTCGGTATCCTGGGCACCCTTACCAACGAGACCATCCGTTGCAAAGGAGTTTCCAGGTGAAATATTTCAATAATAGTTTTTTTTATCACAGTATTACGATTCATAGTTTAAAGGCACACGTGCATTACCTTAGATCCGTCCGGAATGTATCATGTAAATTCATTGCATTGAATGTTTTACAAAAATTGGGATGGGATTATATTCATCACCGTACTCCAGTGCAGCGCTTCACAACTGGTGTGCCGCCACAGTAAAGTCCCAGGAATGCTTCCGAGGTGTTCTTTGGGGGGAATTGTAGGAAAGGAAAGAAGCTCGGTGTTTACAAGCTGGGACAAACTGTCCTCCTCCGTTCCGTTCAGTGGCCGATCCACCCCCCACACCTCCCGCCCTCCCCTCTCCATTGGTCGTGCACGCGTCAACCTTTTAGCCCCTGCGTTCCCACCGACTCACCAATCAGAATCTGTCTGTCTGTCGACGAAACTTGCGAAGGATTTAGCTTGCGTACCGTGGGGTTTACGTTAAAAAAAAAGTACCCGGGTATCACGCAATAGCCCCGTGGTGAGCCAACGCAATTCCAATTTTGCATCCGTCAACTTTAAAGTAGTTTAATTAACCATTTAGTACAATTTATTATACTGCTATAGAGTGCGCCAAAGCACACATTTGCGCATGCAACGCACACGCGTTCGTTGGGAGGAGGGGGAAATTCTCTTTCACGTTAAAAATGAAAAAAAACTACACACAACGCTAAGGTAAATTCTTCAAAGTGTCATTGGGCCCCCCCCCCCCCCCCCCCAATGTGTGCACCTACTACTATAGGGTCGGTAGATCCTAATATTATCGCGCTTAGATACTATTATTGTAGAGCAGGCGGGGGGATGATGGGGGAGGGCGAGGGTAGCGGCCCAGCCCCAGCCTGTCAAGGTGCCACCTCGGCCGGCTGGGCAATCTAGGCGAGGCCGCAGACTTTGTACGGGACTAGGTCTCACAACGGCACTCTGTCAAGTTCATAGTTTGTTTTATAGATGTGTAATAAAAGGACTCAGACACTTCTTGCTGACTCCGTGTCCTTTATTTGGGGTTCGCGTTCTCCTTCCCACACGGCACTCCTCCTGAGACTCTCTCCCTGGCAGCCCCACATCTGCCTTCGCTCCCGTAGCCTTCCACGCTCCTGCAGCTCCGCTGCAGGCTCTTGGTGCAGCCCTCCGGCTGCCCCCACAGCAGCTCCATCGCTGCTCCCTGTTCCTCCGTGCGTGGCGATCTCGCCACCTCCCAATGTCAGCCCTTCGTGGCCTCTATGGCTATCTCGCCATTTCCTACCTCAGCCCTTCGTGGCCTCTGTGGCTATCTCGCCACTTCCTACCTCAGCCCTTCGTGGCCTCTGTGGCTATCTCGCCACTTCCTACCTCAGCCCTTCGTGGCCTCTGTGGCTATCTCGCCATCTCCAACCTCAATCCTCCACTCTCTCTTCCACCCCGCTGGCTGGCGCCGTCATGAGCCCCTCAGCCACCAGGCTGAGGCACGGCGACCACCCAACGTGTTCACCACCCTTCACTCCCCCGACTGACCCAGATAGCTTCCTGTCTCCCCGCTATAACTTCTCCCCCACGTCACCCTGACTCCTCCCTCTCGGATCGTCATATCCGCCCCGCCCATTTACGCCCGCATTACACTACCCTCCCCCGTAGAGAAAATCCCAGCCGTCCTCGGCTGAAACAGAACAAAATAATGCGGGCGAAGGCATCACAATCAGGAGTCCCCCAGACACAACGGAGATTATAACAACA